GTGAAGCATTTTCCAGATGAGACATTGAGTCAAGCCCTGGGAGAGGCACATGAAGCAAGGATGGAGGAGAGAGATGGGTAGTACTGAAGGACCTGGGTTCCATACTAAGGGATAATGTAATTATCTTTCCCAAGGAGCCTGAGTATTTAAGCTGTGCTCCTTGAGCTGCAGCCACTGCTGCAGGTGGAGGCGGGAGGAGGAAAGCCAGGCAAGATTCAAACAACCATTTTACACCAATTGAAAAACTAACAAAGTGCCACCACCAAGAGCAACTGTCAGCGAAGTCCTGAAGCGAAGCGGAGGAATGACATGGTCTGAATTTGCCATTTAGAAGGATATCTCCAGCTGCTGAGTAAAGGAGAAGCCAGGAGGCCTAAGGCCACAGAAGGAAAAAAGACCAGATGCAGGGCAAGAGGGCTTGAATTTGGGCTTCAGGAGGCAGGTGGTCGGTCATATCAGAAAGAAGCTGAAGGTGAGGAATCCAAAGCAGAACTGAGGTCCATGGGCTAACAGGATGACTGAAGGGACTGTGACCTGGGATTTGGGGGGGTGGAGGGCAGAAAGAAGCTGGGCATCTGGTGTTCCAGAAAGGCAATGGGTGTGTGAGCGCCAATATAATCTCTCTTCATCCCAACCCCGTTTGCCCACTAATTACAGGGCAGTCACCAGCGACCAGCCCTACGGGGAGAGGAGTCAGAAGGGAAGGATCCAAGGGAGGGGACAGGCTGCAGCAGGAGAATCTGCAGTCAGACTTGAGAAAAGACTTTATGTGGGTCTCCAGACTAGGGACCAGTGGGAACGGAATTCTGGGGAGACCTCCTAGTTCAGAGATGGAGGAAAGTGTATGTGGAGGGAAATGGGAAAAGCTGAGATCCCTTATCTGACTTTCCATTCAAACCATTGGTCAGCAAGAACAGGCACTGGATCTCAGAGCTTCATACTCCCTCTGCTGACCTCCAACCGTGGCACTTATCTTTTGAAGACCCCTGTCCTGAGGAACTTTCTAAGAGAAATAGGAGAGTTGTGTCATGCCTTAGGGCACTCCCAGGCCAGGTGACAGAAGATTGACTTGAGCTGAGGCAGCTGGGAACATTCATACTCCCGCCTCGGCCCTTGGCCTTCTGGACCCTGGGTGGCCAGGCCAGTGTGACGGACTGTTACTTCCTCTGCTTCCTTCCCCTACCAGGGGCATCTGAAGCTCAAGCTTCTCTCTCCCTTTCTTCTTCCTCGCCCAACGCAGGCACTACAAAAACCCAGGCTCAGCAGCGGGTAGGTTGCCCAAGGCCAGGATGCCTCGTTTCTCTGTAGCTCCACCCTCACTTCGTGTGTGACCATGGATAAGTTCCTACACCTCTCTGGGTTCGTGTAAGTCAGAAAAAAATTATCCTGCCTACCACCCAGAAGCTAAAACCCTTCGTTAATTAGGAGAATGAGGGAAAGCGCATCCCCTCAGGTTGGGAACCCGCTTGGCTCCCAGCTAGTTCCCGGGCAGTCTGAGATGCCTCCTTCCTCCCTGCCAAGAGGATGAGCAGACGGGTGTTTCATGCGGTGGGGGTGACTCACGTGCCCTGGGCACCCCCTCCCCCAGTAGGCTCACCTCAATCTGTGACTCACGGGAACACCGGATGTTGACTGGTGTGGGGGTGCCAACATGTGTATCAGGACGTGGGAGTTGCTCTAATTCTAAGCAGCCCTTTGATTTTGTTGAATGAAACCCACAGAAAGACCTTGGGGTCTCCCAATTAAGGAGCAGGAAAAGTAAAATGGAGTTTTCAACTAAAAGGTTCCCGATCTGGAGGAAGATCCCTTGAGAATTCACAGACTACACAGAGATGCTCAGAAGGCTTAATGGAAAGGCTTTATGTAAAATCAAAGGAAGAAACTCAAGAGTTCTGTCCACTGAGCATTTTTCCCCTAGCCTGTTCACCAATAAATGTAGAGTTTTTCCTTTTCATAACCTAGAGCTGGAGGTATTCTCCCCAACACACATGCACACAGACTAGTCCAGAATCCAACAAAGCAAACGGCGCATCATCACGTCCATCTCCTAAGCGGGAAGACTGAGGCCAGTAAGGGTGAGCAGGGCACAGGCTCCTGATTGGGGCTGGAGTCATTACCAGTTGCACAGTGCCGACGGGGGCCAGATTCCACCTCATCCACAGGGACAGTTCAGAGGCAGGTGTGTGAAGGGACCCGAAGCTTTGGGTCTACAGCACTGGGGATGGAGCACAAGCCAGCAGCAACCCTTGTTCCCACAGTCCATACAAAGAGAGGGAATGCGGAGAATGAGGGAATGACAACAAAGGGCGTAGAAGAACCAGATAGCCACAGAGACACCCAGGGACTGAAAATAAGGCCTGACAGGCTAGTATGTGGAGTTCATGAGCACAGACCCTCACTAACCATTTCAACCCTGGGATAAGCTGCCTCCGTAACAACAGAAGGTAAACACTGGCATTGATTTGCAAAGACTAATGATGCTTACCACTGGACCAATTGGTAGCATCAGGATGGACGGTGAAGAGATTGAGATTGTTCACAGCTTCAGTTTCGGCTCCACAGTCAACACTTTTGGAACCAGCAGCCAGGAAATCAAAAAAGGTATTGCGATGGGAAAGTCTGTTAGGGACCTCTCTTTGGAGACGAAGGTGCGCCTGATACAGGCCATGGTCTTTGCAATCACTTGTTATGCATCAGAGAGCTGGACAATGACTAGGGAGGACAGAAGGAGAATTGATGCCTTTGAGCTGTGGTGCTGGAGAAGAATACTGAATGTACCATGGACTGCTAAGAAAACAAACAGATTCATCCTAGAGAGGGTTAAACCAGGCTGCTCCTTGGAGGCAAGGATTCTGGGGCTTCATCTGACATACTTTGGACATGTTGCAAGGAGAGACAGGTCTTTGGAGAGGGACATCACGCTGGGCAGAGTAGAGGGACAGCACAGGAGAGGAAGACCCTCTATGAGGTGGATTGATTCAGTGACTGGGGTAATCGGGATGGGTGTGTCAGAGGCAATGAGATTGGCACAGGATAGAGCATGGTTTAGGGCTGTTGTACATAGGGTCGCTATGAGTCGCAAACGACTTGACGGCACACAACAACAATGATGCTGAGATGAAATTCGAGATCCAAGTTTCCACAGCTGGTTTTGCATCTGGAGGAAGTTTAACAGCCTGGGACCTAAGACTTTCTACAACAGGCTTGCCCACTGCTGAGCAATTCCCGTGTCTGGGAATGAGGCTGACCAGAAGTTCCAACTTCAGAGGACAGGTATGATCAGATGACTGTATTTAAATCTAAAATATGGATAATAACCTATAAATGCCTTTTTTTTCTGCTGTTCCATAGCATTTTTCTTAATTGAGTCAAAGTTTGCAAACTGGTTTTCCATTTACACATATTGTTTTATAACATCAAAATACCCATAAAGTAGCCATATCCTTACTACTTAATCCTCCCATCCTACCCCTTCCTGCCTTTTCAGCTTTGTCCTTGGGCAAATGCTGCCTTTCTGACCTTATATGGCTGGTTCTTCTAAGGAGTGGGCACCACCCTGGTGTTACTATTCACTGTATATGCCTTTATATTGTTTGGCTGGAAGCTGAACCACAGGGTAATGTGAACCACCTATTACCTTGCAGACCATCATCATCCACCTGTTCAAGGCAGATATACAAATGGAGTCCCTTTCCTTCTCTGTTCTTCCTGGCTTTCCGTCTGCCCGGGCAAGGGGCCTCTGCTACCCATGCTCGCATCCTACTTGAGTAAAACACTACTGGGTGCCATCAAGGACACCAGGAAGTCTATGTTCAGACATGTTACCTGCAAGCAAGGAGTTAATGCAGAGGAGACAAAGTTACAGCCGTGCGAAAAGAGGAGATAAGCCAAGGACTTGGAGAAAATGAAGCCAACTAAATTTTCAATCTGAGCTCAAGACAACAATAGGAGAGTTCATGACGTCCCTGACTGCAATGTGAAATGAATAGACAGTAATTTCTCTAATAGCTCAGAGAAGGGAAGATTACCTTAGGCTGGGGGCAAGGAACAGGCTGGAGGAGACACCATTTGAGCTGATTCTGGAAAAACAGCAGGATTAAGGGAGACGGAGGAGGAACAGGGAGAGGCTGCTAGAAGGGGTGTGGACCAGGCTGATAGGCAACAGCCCCCCTTCTCTGGCACTGGAAGCTCCTGGAAACCGGGAACATCTTGCTCACCTCCATGGCCCATGGTTAGTGACAGGTGAGACGGTCTGACAACAAAGGGCCACCAGTCAGGGACAGATGCAGAGAGCTACAAGTGCTCAGATATGGAGGTCACCCTCTGCGTGTGTATTCTTCTCCTGGAGTGGGGGGTCAGAGGCCCAGCCTCCCTCACCCATCCAGCCCTCGGTTCTTTTCCACTATCCCCACCCGAGGACAGCAGGACACAGGAGAGCATTGTGTCCCTTCAATGCAGTCCATTCACACTCAGCCCCCTTGTCCACTGCTTACTATGGGTACTCTGTGACCCTCAGGAAGTCTCAGGCCTTCTGTGGGCCCCATCTAAAGGCCTGACACTGCAATGAAGGGCACCCCAAGGTCTCAGCACAGATCTGGCAGTGAGGAGAAAGCAGTCTTGGCCCTGCACACATGGCTCTGGGAGCAGCTAAGAGAAGAAAATGGTCCAGGTCCCAAACTGCAAGTAGCCAGGTGGCCTGGGTCTGGATCTCTTCGTGAGGGGCCGCCCACTCCCCTTCTGGAGGTTCATGCTATTGGACCTAGGGGACTCCATAGGAGGTTCAGGCTCTTGGGCCTAGGGGACTCCATAGAACATCATGGCTCCTGACCCAGTGCTGGTGCAGGCCCCTAAGGCATCAGACAGAAAATTCGAGCTAGGCTTTTGTGTTTAGGCCAGCAGGCCTTCCATATCCAATGAAGATGAAGTTTACTCCATTGATATCTTGCTCGAGGGCTCAGAAGTCCTGTTGCCCATCTACAGTTTATTCCTGGAGTTGGAATCTACACAGTCCACCTCTCACTTCGGGCCTCCACAGTCTGCACCAAGTCTTCGCCCAGTACTGCAAAGTCCTCCAGGATTGCTTCCACATTGGGCAACGTCACCAGCTCCCCACCCTGAGACACTATCATGCGCCCCTTTGTGCTGGAGGCCTGGAGGAATCAAGGAAGCAACAAGGGAGGGGTGTCACAAAGATTCATCAGAGACACCAGACCAGGACATGCCCACCAGACACTCACGGAGCAGACCACACAGTCACACAGACACTGGAAGACATAGAGTGGTCACCAGCCAGCGTACCTTGAACGGTTGTGGCTGGAAGCTGGCAGGCTTCCAGAGGACGCCAATCACCTCCCCACCATGCTGGTCATAGAAGAAGAGGGCAAGATCCCCAAAGGCTGCCTAGAGAGGAGACAGGAAAGAGACGAGATTACAAGCAGGCATTGCAGCATCTCCTTTATGGCCCAGCTTCTCCCAGGAGTCTTCTGACAGTCAGCCCTCGAGGACCTACCCTGAGCTGTGCCAGGTAGAGCTGAGGAGGGTCATAGCCCACCACAGGCATCAAGGACAAGGGCTGGGGCTCCTTAAGCAGGCCACGGCAGAAGGAGGCAGCTGGCGAGTCCACAGCCTGGCGGTGCCGTGGGATGTGGCGGGGACACAGGCGGATCAGCACGTCATATATATCCAGGGGTGGCCGGAAGACTGTCTGAGGAAGGGTGGGGAAGGGTGAGCTGGGTCCACGTGTGGTTGGGAGCAAGACCACAAGCCGCTCTAGACAGGGTCCTCTCTGTTAACCACCCAAAGTAAATGGTGCAAACTCGAGTCCAGAAGGAACACAAGCTGGAAGCATGAGGCCTGAGTGAAACCAGGTCCTGGATTCCTCTTCGCTCCAACACTGCCATCTCTGGATGGTCACCAAAATTGGGGATGGGGTTCTGGGAGGGGCTCCTTCAACACTGGCCTTTCAGGGTTCAAAGTCAGAACCCCTCGAGTCCTGGAGTTGCTCTTAGTCGGGGCCTTACCCTGATGTCCCCAGGTCCCTTGGGATCCATCAACTGCTTCTCTAAGACAGGCAGGGCCTCAGCTGCCAGGACCACGAGTCGCTGTAGGATCTGGAAGGCACAGTGGCATGAGAACAGACCTGGTCATGGGTCTCCCTCAGCACAGGCTCGCCCTGCTTTTCCTATCAGGGAGGAAACCACACACACTCAGGAGCAGGGATCACGTCAAACCTGAGGTGAAGGCCCATCCTGTGTCCACACGGAGCTCTTACGGTCCTGGGGGGTAAGAATGACCATGACGGGGAGTCGTGTCCGAGCTGCCAGGAAGTCACTGCGCATCTCTGCCTGCTCCTCCGCTGGAGTCAAAGAAGGAGTCTCATGTCAGTCCTTCCTTCCCCAGACACCTCAATTTCCCTAGCTTCTCATACGATAAAGTGCAGCAATGACCCAGGGGGATCTTCTGAAAGCCCCTACCCCCACAGGGACAAAGGAACTCTGCATTTACTCAAACATGGGGGCATTTTCTAACCCCAGATCAGAAGCAGAATTTTCCACTGCCTGGCACACCCATCTGGTTTCCGGGACTGCACAAGCTGAGGCCTGCCCCAAGCCCCCTTTCTCCTGTGCCCCATACACCTGGGGAATTAGGAAGCTGACACCATGCTCGCTGCTGGCACCAAGAACTCCTCATATTACAACCAGAACTCGCCGTCCCCACCCCTTAAGAGGTCTGGGCATCTCCTCTAATTCAGAACCTTCCTTGTTCCCGGCCACAAGACTCAACGGGTTTCCAGGACCCTCATCCTGCTCTCCTGCCCCCTGCATAGCACCAACACAGCTGGCTTCCCATCTACTGTCCGTTCTGTCTGGCTATCATGTTGACAAACCACACCAAGAGATCTGTAAAGGCCTGACTTGGGTTCTTCCCCCTAACAATTCCCTACCCTAAGCGCCAGGCTTAGACATCTGGGACGCGAGAGCTGGAGAAAACCTAGCAGGTTGGCAGGGAAAACCCTCACCTGGTCCACAGTCTACAGTACTAAGGGGTAGTTCTTCCAGAGTCCTGACCTCCATTCCACTCACCAGTGAGCTCACTGTTGAGGTTCACAATTAGGGGGTTGTTCTTCCAATCAAACGTTGATACCAGGTAGAGGAAACGAAGGAAGCCAACCTGTGGGGAACTGAGGGCAGCGAGTGAGCAAAACCTACAGACCAACTCACCTCCCAGTTTTTCCTCACTGGCTAGAACGTAGGGAGCCCAGACTCCCCAGTGTGCACCGGGATGGGAGAGTCTAAAAACCACTTGCTTCTGACCCCCACCCCTGGCTAGACTGAGGGGGCAGCATGAGTGATGAAGGCTAGCTACAAGGGGAATTTCTCTGCTAGGGGAAAGACAGGGGAAATTATCTGTGAGGGGAGAAGGGCTTGAGGAGACAGAGGAAACTACCTGGGTGGGGAGAATGGCTCCGGGTGCAGGAACAGGGCGGCAGCCACCAGGTCCAGGCTCTCATCGGAAAGCCCGTCTCCCAGAAGCTGGGCACGCACCCACCGCTTGGTCAGCCGGGCCACACCTGAGAAGGCTGAGTGTTGCTGTTGAAGTCTAAGGGGGGGAAAGGGATAAAGCCAATGAGACTCGGGGACCCAACCCAGTGCCACCACCCGACCTAGTGCTGCTGGCCTCTGCACTAATGATCTATGTAATCGCCTGTCCTCACAAATTCACCAAGTGACTGGTCTGACTGTTATCCCCATGATACAGAAGAGGAAAATAAGGTCCAGAGAACAATCTGATAAAAGGGACAAACAGTAAAGGGTGCGTCAGAACTGCTGGTCTTGCCTAACTTCAGGATGCAAATCCCTGACCATGAGCCCATGTGGCCTCCCCAGGAACAGGAACAGGCAGCCAGAAGAGCTGGGAAGGGCACCGGGTGGGGAGGGCCTGTGCAGGTGGCCATACCCATGCAGGGCACTGGTGAGCAGAGGCAAATGCTTTGTGTCTCTTTCCAGGCGAAGGGAAGCAGGCGTGTCCCTGAAAGAGATCATCCCCTCGGGGCTCCTCATCTCCTTTAGGATTTGGGGCTCCCGCTGATAGGCCACTTGCACTCGGAAAACGAATCCATCCTGTCAGAGGGGTGGGAAGGGTCAGCATGGAGCCCAGGGGTGCTCTGTGTCTCTATCCCCAGGCCAGCCTCGTGGCTCAGGGGATCCTCGAGCACACCCTGCCATCCTTGACTTCCCCGGAATACTCCTGCCGGCAGCATGCTCACCTTGAGGACATCGGTGTGTGTGGCGGTGGCATGGCACTGCAACCCATGCTGCTGCTTCAGAATCTCTGCCAGGCGCAGCTGGAAGGCAGCCCGGACCCGTCGCACAGCCTCGGCATCCTGTGGCCACTGACCACTGCCCTCCAGGTGACAGACCACTGGAGGGAGAGCAGGTGTTAGGTCTGTGACTGCAGTCTCAAGTGGCTGCGGCCCAATCCCATGTACCCCAACGCCTGCCAAGAGTCCTCTCACCAGTTAGGGGCTCCACATAGGCTGGGCAGGGCTTGTCAGTCCTGGGCAGCAGTGAGGCTCGCTCTTGAAAGCGCTCATAGAAGGAGTAAGCTGGCCAGACGGGGGTTGGCGGGAAGACCTGTAGAATAATGGCAGCTTAGGAAAGGGCATGGGTCTGGAGGCCAGCACCCAGAATCAGGAACCACTGTCATTGTTGTGTTCCATGGAGTCGGAATGGACCCATAGGTGACCCCCAGTGGGTTTTGGGGGCAGTAAATCGCATGGAAGCAGACTGCCCTTCTTTTTCCCGCACAGCTGCGGCTGGATTCCAAACACATGCCTTTGGGATTGTAGCGCAGCTTCTCACCACCAGGCCACCAGAGCGCCCCAGCAAGGGGGATTCTAGGTGACTGGAGCAGAGCTGGGGGCTACCAGGCAGAAGGGGCTCCCTGCCCACTTGTGCTCACCTCCGTGTAGCGCAGCGCCGCGTGAACTCCCTGCACAGCAGACACAGTCAGCGGGAGGCCTTCCAGCCCCCACAGGAGGCGGCTGAGGTCATCGTAACAACGTACTACAGCTGCCAGGCCCTCCTCACCCGTGTTGGACGTCTGAGGAGGGGAAGAAAGTCAGAAAGTCAGGACCCTACGGTACACTCGCACCACCCGAGAATGTGCCTGTGGCTCAGATGAAGAGCCAGTGCGCCCTCTGCTGGACCCTGCAGGTGGTGCAACCCAGTGAGGGCCAGCCAAGGTACTCTCTGAAGGTGTCACCCCAAGCCAACCCCACCACGCCCAAGGACAAACCCTCTACAACTGCCAGCCCAGGGCCTTACCTTCTTCTGGCCCTGGATCAGAGCATCCAGGAAGCCCCCTACATAATGGACACAGGTATCTGGAATGTCTGCGTGGCTGGATGGGGACACAAACAGTAAGTCACGCAAGGATTGTGTTCCTGGAGCTGAGCAGGAGATGAGTTCCTCAACTCCAAAAGCCAGGGCCATCCCAAGAAAAGGGCTCCCCAATCACACATTTAAATGTCAATCACTCACAGTGCTAGGAGGTGGGTGACCACCTGCTGGGGAATAAGGCGCTTCTGGGCCATAGAGGCTGCCTCCCAGACTACAGCCTCCCGGATGGTTCCATCCTGAAAACGCCGGAGCTCCGAGAGGGATCCCCAGAACCGGCGGAAGTCAGCAGCCTGAGGAGACACGACAGATAGGTAGGGATGGAGACCAAGGAAAAGGGCTGTCAGAAGGCTGACAGGCTTCAGGCATGAAGACCGCCCACCTCACTCCTTCTACTGCACTTGCTGGACTTCCCAAGAAAGGATCAAAGCAGCCACCATACCCTAGGGGCACTCCTCACCTCAGGCTGGTCAGCCTCTGGGCCCATCTCCAGGACACTGGTCAACCCCTCCGGCCGGAGGAGCAATCCCAGGGTCAGGGCTCCGGGGTCTCTGTGCCTCGGTGGTTCCTGGCTGATCTCCCACTGCAAGGTGCAGAGGTTGAGTCCAACTGACAGTCCTCTAACCTGGCCCCCTCCACATTCCTCTCCACTTCTCCACATACTCCTACAAATGTATTACCACCTCACCTCTGAGACAGGGGGCCGAGAATGGGCCAGCAGGTGCAGCCGAGACCTCAGGCCTTGCTCCAAGAGGGTGGTTAAGGGGCCCAAGGCAGCTGATACATAGTCCCCACCATGGTCTTGCAGCTCAGGCCACAGCTTCAGCCGGTGACATGCTGCCTGCAGGCGGCTGAGGGGGCGTAGACTAGGGGTGCAGAGAAAAAGGAGGCGTCGGGTCTGTTGGTCTCAAGACTCACCTGAGGTCTAGGCCTGACTGTCTGTCTACCAAAAGGGCTTCTCGTTCAGTCACTGTAGCCCCAGTTAAACAAGACCCACCAACACACAGTCACCCCTAAACTCACTGCAGGATGTGGTCAAAAGCCCGGATCATGGGTTTGGGAGTCATCAACAGCAGCTGGAACCCGTCATCAGCTTTGCTGTCCAGTAACTCCATCGACAGCTTTGCCTCATGCTGCACCTGAGACCACAGGTCAGGAAGGAACTGAGATGTTACACTGCATCACCATACCCCTTGCTGACCCATGAGCTCTCTGGAGAGGAGGCTCAGAGGTATTGGTCCTAGCAAAGTCTAGGGCTGGGATATGGGGGAATCCAGGAGCCCAACAGTACCTGGTGGTAAGTGGAGGCAGTGACATCAGCACAGAGGTTGAGACATCCTGAGGGGTCGAGGAAGACAACAGGAAAGGCCTGGTGGAAGTCAGCCAAGGCGGGCTGCAAGTGTGGGAGAGGACAAGAGAATGAGAGCAGTGTTAGAACCGTCTTCAGGTCACCTCACCCAGACCTGACCCTTCCCCAACTCACCAAGGAGGGATCCGAGCTGAGACATAAACTGATTCCACTGACTGTCAGATCTGTGGTAGCTGAAGTGAACCAGAAAAGGGGTGTGTGTGAGTGGTACCCTACTCCTAAGGACAGCCTCCCTCAGCTGCCCATTCTGTGACTGCCTATCTCCAGGACTCTTCTGTCTAATGGCAAAAAGCAGGCTGATCCCCACTGGAATAAGAGAAAACCCAGGAGGACAGAACCCTTGGCTTTTCTCAATTTAGTTGTCTCACCTAGAAATTGCAGGACGTTTCTCAGGACCTGGTAGCTGCTCATGGTGGTATGGATCTTGCGTGTTGACACAAGGAAGGTAACCAGCATGGAGACCAAGAAGCCACTGAAGCCACCCAGGCCCTAGAGGAGATGGAAGGAGAGGCTTGAGCCCAGAGCCAGCCCACCACTCAGTGGGGCAGTGAGGCTGGGTCATAACCCACTCACCTTGTCTAGCTCCCTCTGCCGCAGCCAGACCTTCAGAAGAGCCACACCGTCCTTCAGTCCTGGCGCAGCACCTAACACAGCTGACATGAGCTGCACATGGGACTCAAGGGCTGTATCCTGCAGGATCCACGTGTTGTAATGGGGGGTGGGGGGCTCTGGGCTCCCTGTGGGGAGCAAAGGGCAAGCTATGAAGACCTAAGTCCCCAAAACACCCCTTCCTTCCAGCTCTACCTTGGCAACAGTGTTTGCTCACCATCCTCTAGAGGAGTCTGCCCTCGGTACCAGGCAGAGCGCACATTGTTCTTGGTCGGCAGCAGGCGGCACGGGCGGAAGAAGTCAGGGGGTGGGCATGGATGGAGACGTACAGTGACCAGGCGCTCATCCTTCCCTGGGCAGAGACAAGAGACACTGATCCCTGTAGCCACCTTGAGTTGAGAAGGGTCACTACATCTCCTTAAACTTGCAGCCCCCCTGCCTTTGGACATGAGGGCCGTATGCCTCCCCAACTGGACTTGTCACCCATGCTCTGCCCTCAGCCCTGTGGTTTCCTACCACATGGCCGCAGCAGCAGTGAGGGCTTCAGGTGGCAACCACTGCTGTAAGAGAAGCGAACACTGCCGAAGAGGGGGTCTTGGGCCAGGTGGTGAGCCAAGTGGGCCAGGTAGAGGGCACGCTTGCGGAAGTAACGCTGGTTGAGCCCATCCTTGTCCTGTAGGATCTCCTATAGGTGCCAGAGAGATGAAGAGAAGACAGCGAGATGTTACAGAGTTTGGGAGCAAAGATAAAGCCAGGGTGAGAACTCCAGCCTGGCAAAGCCAAGCCAGAACCTAAGTCAGTCCTCAGATGGGGAAAGCAAAGTTCAGAAGAGGCAGCAACTGGCTAGTGGCACGTCCCAGCTACCTTCAAAATGACTGCAGAGTCCTGCTCATTAGATTTAGAACTCAGTTGTCAGCAATGCTGGCAAGCAGATGGTATGAAAAAGGGTTCAGTCCTGAACCTCAGGCCTCTCACCCTGGGCATGGTCAGTGCCACATCCACGTTCACATCGGGTCGAATGCAGGTGCCCAGAAGGTAGCTGCCCACAATGGTGACCTGGACAGGAGGCAGGAAGCGAAAACGGCCCTTCACAGCAAAAGGCACCTGGTGGAGGGGAACCTGCACCCCAGATGGAAGCCAGGCCTGGTCCGTCAGCTGTAAGGACAGAAATAGTGACAGGTGTAGGTAGATTCAAGTGCTTTCCCTAAAACATACTTTTTTTCCATTTCACTTAATGCCAACTCTATACGAGTTGCTCAAATCACAAATGTTGAAAACATCTTGACATATTTGTTAAAAATGCTCATTTCCACCTTCAAAACATATCTAAAACTGAACACTTCTCTATTCCCACCCTAGTCTGAGTGACTACCATCTTTTCTGTGGACCGGTACAAAGCAGGTTCCTATCTGGTCTTGATCCTTCCCATTCCACTTTCAACAACCTGAGGGGGCCTTATTGGGATAGTGTATCAGAGGCTATGGTAACTGGAAGATCAGCAGTTTGAATCCACTAGCCGCTCCACGGGGAGGTCTGGTGGCTTAGGGGTTAAGGAGGTGCACTGCCAACCCAAAGGCACTTGGTTTGAATCCACCAGTTGCTCCACAGGAGAAAGACAGGCAGTTTTCTCTCACATGATTTACTGCCTCTGAAAACCTGCCAGAGGGTCAACTCTGTTGGCTCCCACTTGACTGTCCCTAACAACATGCCACTCCACAGGAAAAGCAGGAGGCTGTCTCCTCCTGTAAAAATTTAAACTCAGAAACCCAATGGAGGGCTGGTATAAGTCAGAATGAACTTGAGAGCACGTGGCATTTTTATTTCAGCATCCTGAGTGAACGCTTAAAAACCCAAGTCAGTGTATATCATACCTCTCCGAACCTACGGAGTGGCTCCTCACTTCATGCAGAACCGGCAAAGTTCTGATTGTAAGGCTCTGCATGCCACATACATACATACATACATACTAGACTGCCTTTCTGTCTAGTTCTCCTCACATTACGCCTTTGAGGTTTTATGTACTAGCCTTTTTCACTTCCTAAAACATTATTCCTGACTTACTTTCCCTGAAAATTTCACACAATTATCATTTCAAAAGTCTATCTTGGCAAAGCTATTTAAAATCGCAAACTACTTCTATTCCCTAATACTCTCAGATCTCCTTAACGTGCCTTCATTTTATTTTTTACCACCTTCTAATATTAAGATAATTTGTGTGCTTCCTATCTACTGTGCATCCACACTAGAACACAGGAAGTTTCCTTCACCGATATACTCTAAGTCCATGAAGACTGCCAGACATGGAAGTGCTCCTTGAATGAATGAGTACGTGAATGCCCACACTCTAACCTGAGCCTTCTGGCAAGGAGGATGACTTCCCTAATATCTCAACTCTTCAAAAGAACAGGATGGCCTCTGTTTGAGATATTACCACTGGGGACCTTGCTGACCATTCCAACCCCTCTGGACATATGCCTTACCTCTGTCTCAGAGGTTGAGGGAACTTTCAGGATCCGCTGGTTGATCTCCCGCAGGAAGACATCAATGCGCTCCTTCTTCTTCTCTGGCAGCTTCACTTCCTTTAGTAGCTCCTCTACCTATAGGGAGAGGAGACTTAAGTCTAACAGACTTAGAGCCCAGGTCCAGTCCCCCACCAACCCAGCCTCTCAAGAGCACCTGTAAACGAAGCAGGCTGGAATGGAACAGACTCTCAGTCTCCCGCAGGCGATTCAGCTCCTCATTGGTGGGCTCCTTGTACAGTTCTGTCCGACTGAGCTTCACTGGCTGCAACAGGCCTTCTGGAGGTGCAGTCGCTGTGCGTTTCTTTGAGGACACCTTCTTTTCTTCCTTGCCTGTGCCTTCTGGAATTATCTCCATCATCTGTGACCAGTAAGCAGGGAAATCAGTGTGAGACTGCAGGTGCCTAACATCTGCTGCATTAAGTATCCCCATGAGAGGGTGTGGATAAAGGTTTCTCTCCTAAGTCAGAGTCAGATCCTGTAAAATGCAGGGTACTCATTAGTTGGGAGCCTTAGACTAAAAATTTCCTAAAGTAAGGGCTCTTTGTCTTCCTCATACCGTAAGCATTAAGCTCTGCTTAGAACTGGTAGGAGAAAACGATGATCCAGACTTGCTCTAAGATTGCCAAAGCCTCTGGTGTTTCCTGGTACCACTCACAGACTACTTCTTCTGCTAGCTTAGGCCTACATCTTCCCAAATGCCTTTTCACTCTTCCTTCTATCCAAATCCTGTGAGGTTTCATCTCCTATAGCTAGACCTGACTCATTAACTCAAACACAAATGCACTGCTACTGAGCCAGTTCTAATGCATGACAACCCGTCATTGGTTTTCTGAGGAAAAAGGTCTTAATGGGAGCAGGCTGATAATCTTTCGATTGGAACCACTGGCCTTTCAGTTAGCAGCCCAGCTGGCAACATACCATGTCCCAAGGCTCTCAATACTCACTGTTAGGTGCCACTGAATCGAATATGACTCATGGTAACCTGATGAACAACAGATCCTAATCTGTGCCATTCTCACAATCTGCTGCAGTCACTGTGTTAATCCATGTAGTTGAGGGTCCCTTTACCTTTTCAAGCATGATGTCTCTCTCCACACAATAGCTCCCCCTAGCAACATGGTATGTGAGTAACAAGTATGTGAGACAAAACTTTATCATGTTTGCCTCCAAGAAGCACTCTGGCTGCACATTCCCTAAGACATTATCTGTTTGTTCTTTTGGCAGTCCATGGGATATTCCATACTCTTCTCCATTACAGCTCAAAAGCATCAATCATTCTTGTCATTCTTATTCATTGCCCAGCTTTTAGATACAAGTGATTAAAAAGACCATGGCCTGAACCAGAGGCACTTTAGTCTTCAAACTGAAATCACTGCTCGTTGGTAAGTTGGAGAGGTCTCTGACTACAGACTTTCCCAGTGCATTATGTCTCCTTACTGCCGGTATCAAGAGTGTTGACTGTGGATCCAAGTAAGATGAAGTAGTTGACAATTTCAAACTTTTCTCCATCTATCATGATGTTGCCTAAGAATTTCTGTTTTCTTAATGTTGAAATATAATCTATATTGAAGGCTGTATTGATCTTCTGACTCAGTATATTCTTTCCATCTTCTTTTAATACTTCCTGGATCATTTAGCATTCTGCCAAAAGCATCCCTGATTATAGCAACTCGAGGTTTGAATTTGTTCTTCAGTTCCTTGAGCTTAAGATATGCTGAGCGAGTTCGGCCCTTTTGATTTTCTGACTCCAACTCCTT